GTTGCGGTCGTACTGCCAGCGCCCCGACGCCGCCGCACGATCCTGGCATTGCACGACCACCTACGCTCCTGTTGGGATCGAGGCCCGCGTCTCGGATGGGCCGTCGCCGACCTTGGGCTCCATGTCGATGAGCACTGCCCGCGCCGTGGACGACGGACCGCGGAAGAAGATGTCCATCTCCAGTGGCGCCTCGAGCTCGGTCGCTAGCTTGTCAAAGAGCGCGTAGCCCTACGGTGTATGAGTGCCACTCGTCGCTGCGAGCAGCGACTGACGAGCTGGTTGCCGCATTGCCCGAGCTGCAGCGTCACGATCGACATGGTGCTGGGACAAACGGCTGTCCGATTTCGGACACGTTTTTAGCCCAAATAATGGGTTAAACGGGTGGGGTTTTAGAAATAACGCGGGTTCAACGGTTTAACGTCGTTTACCTCAAACCAACGTGTTGCGATCTTCCAACGCTTTCGGTCAAATCGAGTCCATCGAGCCCGATACACTCAGGTGGACGTACCGGTAGCAGCTAGCGCGTGATAGACACCATAATCAATGTTATCCTGTTGTTGCATGCGTAGCCTAACAATCCTAATAAGGTGACTCCTCATGCCATCAAGGCAGCGTGGCAAAGCAGTGCCAGCGGGGACGAGCTGGCGTCGTGTCCTTCGATGGCCGCTTTGCGCTCGAGTCGCTTTTGCTTGATGGCGTCGCGGTTTCGGCGGTACCATTCTTGCTTGTACTCACGCTGCCGGTCGCGGTGCTTGTGCCGGTACGCTTTCATCTGTTGCAGTCGCTTCGCTCGGTTCTTGGCGTCGTAGCCGCGCTGCTTCTGGAGGCGCTCGCACCGGTGCTTTTGGTACCACTCGCGCTCGAGCTCGCGGCGCCGGAGCGTCTTATTGAGCGCGAAATCGCATGGAAGGCCGTCGTCGCTGCCCATTGAGCCTTTTTGTCAACTGATGATGATCGGTTGCAGCCGATTTTTGCGATCTTGAAACGGATACAAAAGCTGTTGCCGATGCATGTCAAACCGCCGTCGATCGTTCTTTTAGTCTATTTCTTCGTTCTTTTAGTCCATTTATTCGTTCTTCAAGTCCAATTCGTTGTTCTTCAATTCTACCCATCAGTGCTTCTACTCGCGAGGCGTCGGTCGAGGCGGCGGTCGACCGAGAGGACAGACAAGGCGGTGGCGAACGCGTCGTATCGATGGTAGATGGCACGAGGGTGTCTGTTCTTTTAGTCTTTCTTTTATACATTAAAGAACCGTCTCGAAACGGCGCAGCGCAGTTCTTAAAAGGGATGAAACGCTGGCCGTACCTCGCGCTCTTCTTCGCCAACGCGGTCGTGGCCGCGCTGCTGGCGACCTATGGACAAGGTTGTCCATGCATTGAATGACAATCGGCAATCACAATATGGCACTAGACCTGCTGGAGCTGTCGCCAGCGATCGGCCGCTGCGATCTGCACGCGAACGCCCACTGCCTCGGCCAGCAAACCATCTACCGGTACGACACCTCTTCGATCTGTGGTCCTCGAGCGACAAGCATCGCGTCTTGCTAGCGCAAGTGCGACGATCTCGGCCTTCTTCCTTCTGCTCATGCTGCTGAGTGCGCTCTACGAGCGCCGCGCGTTTCGGAGCCGCCTCGTGCTGGGCTGCCAACTGCCCATGTACCTCGGCGCTCTCACCGGCGCCTTCTTCCTGCCCAACGGTACGCCGCCCTCCTCCTGCTCTACGAGGACGACGGCGTGCGGTTTTCATAGAGGTCTTTGACGCCTACGCCTACCTTGCGGCCGTGCTCTCGGGCATCTTTATCCTCATGCAAATCGTGATCCTCCTCGACTGCGTCTGTACGAAGCCTCTGGTGCCATCCGACCGACACGTTTGCGTGCGAGTAGACCACGTGCGGGACAGCCTCCTCGACCGGCTGCAGGACCCCAAAGCGCCCCGATCGTGTCTCTGGTACGCCGCTGAAACAATATCGTTCGTTTCTGCATCGATGGCTAGGCCGTGTGTCTACCTCGGACTCTCGCTCACAGGCCTGGGCTTGGCCGCGCTTGGTCTCGTCGTTCTGGTGCGTCAGACTCGAATCTGAGGAGGCGTGGCATGTGGGATGCCTAGTTTTATTATTACGCCGCGTCGCCTCTCGGACTCGGCTTTCTCATCGTGACTTGTGTGTCGATTCTGGTCGTTGTGCCTCTCAGCGGTAGCTTGACACGATCTTTTTCTCGCCAAGCATCCTTGGAGTAGTGGCGGATCGGGTTGGCGCGGGTCTCTTACCGCCAGCTGCCATCGCGCTCTACCTCGTGTACCTCCTCTGGCAGGCACTGCTCATGCTCCCCGACTTTGAACCTGCCTTTCTCCAAGGCGAGAGCCGAGCCAGCAGTATCTCGATTCCAAGCACCATCATTGCAGCACTGACCGTCTCTTACACCGGGTACGACTCCATGCCGATACTTAGTACGCTGCATGTGAAAACGATGAGACGCAGGTGGCGAACGTCCTGCGCTGCGTCGTCCCTCTTCCGCTTGGAACTCCCCGAAGCCCAAACAGAGGTCTATGTATCTCTTCGTAGCATCTCTCACCAACGGGGAGTAGACCGCGCTGGATGCCGAAGCCGGCCGCAATGTCGTCGACATTGAACCGCAGATCGTCGCGCCGAGCTGGCAGTTCCACTGCATCCTGCTCTTCAGCGGTCTCTACATGGCCATGGCGCTCACCAACTGGGGCGTCGGCGCAGGGTATCATCCGCTTTGTTTCAAGTTGATACAATCTGATGATGGATGTGTTGCTAGAAAGAGTGACACGCAGCGCGTGAGCATGTGGGTACAAATTGCGTCGCAGTGGGCGACGACGCTGCTTTTTACGTGGACGCTCATCGCACCGGTCGTGCTTCCCGATCGCGATTTCTCCTAGTAACTCGATCAACATGTTGGTATGCATGCTTCAAGCAAGAGGCGTGAGACAGTAGTAGATGCGTTATGGCTCGTGCGTTAGACGGGCGAGATCACGCCCCGCTCAATGAGGTCGGGCACTTCGGCGGCCAGCCACGGAGCGAGCTACATGCGATGTGTTTATGCGCTGGAGACGGGAGGATGCACGACGTA